TAGATGTGAATTGGAAAATTTCTCTTGGCGAATAATTATCGTGCTTGGTGTTTAATGCTTTCATGAGTAGTTTATGATCTGTATACACTACGGGAGTGGTTCATTCAAGTCAGGTAAATTGCTAGCAGTTCTCTTCCAAACCTACTGTAACTCGTTTGAGTGGGACTTAATCCCTGTGAGAAAAATGAAAGTGGTTCTCATGAATCAATTACGAACTGCCATAACTGCTGAACAGCCCCAGGAATCGTCGTGATTTCTTCTGTGTTTCGGGTGACGGATAATCGCGAGTAACTGCAACTTCTGCTGGAACTGGTGTGATGTCTTGAAAATTTATAATGTATCCTAGAAATTGCAGTGAAATTTTTCGAAGTTCACATTTCCCAACGTTCATGTAATTTATTATTAAAAGTTTGTGGTGATTGATCCAAATATCGGATATATTACAAATATATGCAGTCGATATTGCCATAGAACTATTTAAACAGTCAATCAATAAAACTAGTCAACTGACCACGTGCATAGCTGGTAAGTAATACCCCAGCATACAATCGCAAACGAGCTCAACAACAATAAAAGTACAAAATATAAATGAGGTGCCACAAGTGTTTCTAAACTACACTTTGGCAACTATTGGTACATATCTGATTTATATGAACAGCTCCTTGCTTTGATTTTTCTCCCATTTTCCTATTTTTTCCCCTTATTACGCGTAATAACCCACTGTTCTTTCACTGATGGGTTCTTGGACCACAATATGGATTTCTCAACTGCCAACACCGAATACATTAACGAGAGACATTATTATTTCGATGCACTCTTTGCTTTGTATTTTTGATGGACACCTTTTCTATGATTTTTGAGATTAAATATTAACCACTGATTATATATACTATAAAATTCTTATCTTATGATTGGTTTTGAGCATTTTACTTGCTAAAAAATCACTATGTTTTTCAGCTTTGTGACTGGTTATTAATGCTTTTGTCCTACTTATAATTAACTGCCAATTCGTTATCTTACTACTGGATTGTCTGCGTTTCAAAAATATCTGCTGGGTCATTGTTCGGTTTTAAACAAGATTATTTTCTGTTCTGCTACTCTCCTCTTTCTCTTTATTTCTCTTTTTCAGCACCTTATTCCAATCCTTAAATATTGGTCTGCACATTTAGCTCATCGATTCTCGTTATACGCCGACCTGTCTCTACCTTGCATTGTTTCACGGTCATTATCAGTTCGTCATAACGCAACCGTCGTAACTCGCGCCAATTATTTGCATTGTACATATGGGAAATTAGCTAACTTTATGTGGAAAATCTTAACCATCTGTATGAAGCAATGTATCTTGCAAAATATTTCAGTACCTGAACAACGTTTTACAAAAAATGTGTTAGCAGCCTTAACAATATGATCTTGCCTGTAAATTGGAATGCTTCTTGTAACATGTTGTTATTTGAGAATAAATTATTCTTCTCATTATCATTATGATCTGGACTTCGTCCACCCTGAATACTGAAATTAAACTTCCCAAGCTTATAAAACTTCTTGATGTTCCTTTCTAACCATTCTGCGAATACAACATTATCATCAACTAACCGTACTTGACCTATCATTCCTAACTACAAAGATACTGTTACAACACTTTACTCTCACTGTCTCTCTAATAATTTATAGCCTCTTGATCTTGACTGTAAATTGGCATGCTCCTTGTAACATGTTATTCGAGAATAAATTATTATCGTTATTAATGCAAGCCATGTTGCTGACACGAAAGGAATTGCATCAATAAGGAGTCAACACTCTTACGATAACAATATCGTGGAACCCTCAGGGTCACTGACAGTCTCATGCTCACATGAAGACGATTACGTTGAAGTTGATCGTTAGGTTCCATTAAAATAAACTCTCTTAAAAACCGGTAACGAGAAAAAAATTCTAGTACCAGAACTTTTTCCTGGAATTTTAGGGAGCCTCATTCGTAAGAGTTTTATCCTGAGGCCAACATATCTCACAACAGCCAGAGTGTGCTGTTACGGGTATGAGGGCGGTTGTCAATTACCGGCTGCCCACACTATGGAAGGGTATTTCTTGAGGAACCTGAAAAGGAAGGTATATTAGCGTTGGTTTTAGAGACCTGGGTGCGTGACCGCAGAGTCCAGAGACAGCTACTTGAGGCCAGTCACGCACGGCCTTTTTATGAAGGGTTTTTTGAGTATCAGCTCCGCTCTTAAAAGGCCTTAGTGGGCACCCTTACCGACGGAGACGAAAATCCATGAGGTAGGGTGACGTGTGACATTTTCAGGGTCGACCATTTCTAACCCCTCCTTCCTTGTGAGAAGGCAGCATCACTGCAGATGCTGGTTGTCTGAGGGAAACACCTTACTGCTGTCACACCCCTCCACAGTCAGTCAGCAGTACGACCCCGCCCTCAGACCTTGAGTAGCTGCTTCTAGTCTCATCGTTCTCAAATCAACCTGCCTGGCATGGTAGAACCTACAGGAACCGAGCCAATATAGCTCGGTTGGGTCATCACGATAGGCAAGCCCGACTACCACGTCAAGGTAGCAGCCACGGTCGGGAATGGCCAGAGTAGCAACTAGTGTAGGTACATGGATTATTCTGACCATATTGGAACACGAAGGACCATTCGAACTGATCCAGAGAGTTGCCTAGTGTTCATAACACTACACTACACCATAAAAGCAGATGTTTATAACTCTTTTGAGAGCACTTGAATAGACCAGTACACAACATACGGAACTTCGGACATTCTTACAGATGTAATCATTAAAACAATAAAAAAGGCAGGCTCATCAGACAAGCCAAAAGTGGTGAAACAGTAGAATAATAAGCAAGTCAGCTAAAACACTGAATTCAGGTAAGGAAGTGATCAAAGACTTGCATCATATTCTATTTGGGGAGATTTCGGAGCGAGAACATTTGTAGACAGATGGGTAGGATTGTAACCTCACCAACATTTCCATGAGAGAACATCGTATGCGGACTACAGATGAATCACTCCACTATAAAAACCAGAAAAACCTTTAAAGTGTTGGAGAACCAAATGCAGGATTTATTAGACATTGAATTTCATTTGGTCTTCGTTAAGATCGATCAGGTGTCCACCAAATTTTATCATTTTCGTTTGGTATCGAATGGTGAACTGAAGGATACACAACCCTCTATACCAATGTGATTGATTGGGAGGGAGAATTCGATAGCGTGTATATGTTTTCAGATCTTCGCTGTAACTATAAAATACTTCATAATACGAAACTCTAGGCGAGTGCTGAAACGAAAGTACTGCATGAACTGAAAATAGAGATCAGTATCAAATTAGGCTTCCGAACTCAAAACTATTCTTTATTCCGGTTGTCGGATGCCCTAAGAGGATCTCAGAATTTCAAGAGAAGCACTATAAATAATGATCGGCTTGGCTGTTGCTGGATGAATCCGACTTTATATATAATCTAACTCTTCTATCCGACAAACGGCAAGAATTGTAGGTGAAGGAGACCAGTGTAGTAGCGGTCTCTCATTCAGTAGTCTTCAATAATACGCGATGTAGAAGCAAGATCCTTAGGTACAACGCAACACGTCTCAAGCAAATCGCACTTGATGAAAAATCTATTCACGATATGGAAACCTATGGATACCCAAACAGCACCACTTATGAACAGGAGGGATCTGACTTATATTTGAAGACATGGATTTGCGAAGTGAGCGGAGCGATCACAGAAATTCTGGAACTCGGAAGGTCTGCTGTTCAGGACTTTTATTCAAGCGCCGAACAGGTCCCACTTCAATGTGCTGAAACTCATAGATTCACCAGAATAATCCTGCGGGAGAACCTTACATAGAACACACACCGTAATAAGAAAAGATGGGTGCTAAAGTCCATAAAGATGTCAGGTGTATTCAGGATCTAGCAGAACTTTCGTCAGTAACGCGTTCAGATTCGAGAATTCCAAGCCCAGTCAAACTACAGGTCCTATATTCGTAAGAAGGTATGTTGAGAAGTGTCTCACCTAAACTTGCCAGATAGGTTAACTGTCAGTAAGTGCGTTACGCCAAGACGCAAAGACAAACATCGTAACATTAAATAAAACGTTGGCACCACCTGAAAGAGAGGTAGCAAACTGAGTAGGTTAAAAATTCTTGACCCATGCACCGTGCTTCACGAGGAGTGACAGACGTAAGTTAGTACGTTCGTCTGTTACCTCGATGTAATGGACTATTCAAGATGTTAAAACTGTAGATGGTACCTAAAGTACATATGAGATGGGAATTACAAGTCCTCTTCACATGACTTCATAAGACGTCTCAGTGATCCATATCGAGAAACGGTATTTCCTGAACTCTGGGGAAGATGGATACATGAAGCAATACTGAACCACCAACAGTATCATATTAGTCATTACGAGAAATCTGAAAGTCATCAGAAGAGAGTCTGCTATCAGTGGTGTCATTGGTAAACCAACTTCTATCGAATTTTAATTCACTCCTGCACGATTTATTGGTCAGATCCCCGATTTCAAGACTTTCAGTTCGTAAAATTTCTACACTCAAGTTGGTGAGTAAGTGCGAGACAATCTTTGAGCAAAGCTGATACGAGGTTAATCGTATATAGAAAGGGATCGCGGAGTGGCAGATTTGGATTTGGTGTGCCGTTATTTGTAAGGTTTGTTTATAGGTGAGTTTAAGTTGTCTTATTCATGCTTAGGTAAACAGAAACAGTTGAATGGAAGCCAAATGGAGCTCTTACAAGCTGAGATTATCGACAAACATCAGTAGGACTGTTTAGAATGTTCGATTAAGGTTTTTTAAGGTTGTCTATTAAGTCTCTGTTTACCTGCATGATAGTAATTTCACTCGAAGTGAGATTTATGATGCCAGATCATGAAATTTAATTCCAGAACCTCATTGCTCTTTTACCAAGAAAATATTTACAAGTTTTATTACTTCTGACTTGCCACTTTATTAGCCTTAATTCAACTTGCATTCGAAAATATGTTGCTTTTGAACATTACAATAAAAATTGAAAATTATAATTCACACCAACTTTTAAAGTGAGTTAATATATGTCTCGCCTTTAGCCAGCCCTAAAGAACCACATCAAGAACTTTATGTTGCCATTTTGTTTACATCACACATATGCTCTTCAAACAGCCAATCACAATGTACCACATATCTACCGTCATATAAATTGTGCATTTGGGGTCCAAAACGCGCTAAAGATGCAGTGGTTGCTGTCGTGTCTTCTTTTTGCTGCGTTTGCTTCGTGTGACAAAGTCATCGAGCTCACTAAAGACAACTTTCATTCTGAATTAAAGTCTATCCCAGTCGCTTTAGTGAAGTTCTATGCTCCATGGTAATTTCAAGAGGAGTTTATTAAAATTTGTTTATAATCAGGTGTGGACATTGCAAAAACCTAGCTCCTGAGTTCGTTACAGCTGCAGATATTATTTCCAAAAAGACTGGCGATGTTAAGCTGGTTAAACTGGATTGCACTGCCCACGAAAGTATTTGCTCAGAGTTCGGAGTTAGTGGCTACCCTACTCTAAAAATATTCAGGAATGGAGAATTGGATAGTGAATATAAGGGTCCACGGAAAGCAGGTAAGGTTTATATTATTATGACTCCGGCCCAGATGGAATCGCAAACTATATGATTTCTCGGGCAGGACCTGTGTCCAAAGAGGTCATGTCTGTTAGTGATATGGAAAACATCCTATCAGATACTAAGCCAACTGTGTTTGCATTTGTAAAATCGTCTAGTGATCCATTAATGCAGACTTTCACGTCTCTTGCAAGTTCTATGATCGACAACGCTGTATTCTGTCATAGTCATACTAATCTTTTTGAAACAACTGGTGACAAGTAAGTTCTCAGTTGTTTATTTAAATTTCCCTTAGCGAATTGAGAGTGTATTTGCCCAAACGTCTTCGAACAAAGTTAGAGGATGACTTCTATGTCTACAAAGGTGAACTCACATCTAGTGGTATCAAGAACTGGATTCGCAAACAAGGGTAATAAAGTAGTTTCGTCTTATTTTCCATTTAGACAGGGACTGGTCGGTTATAGGTCACCATCCGATTCATTTTATTTCGAAGATTCCAATTTGGTAGTAGTATATAGCAACCAATCCATAGATTCATATCCTTCTGGAGTAAAGTACCTCAGAAATCGTATCTTAAAAACACTAAAAGACAATCCTAATAAGTTCAAAGATTTGGTATTCGCTTACAGTTTCTCGGATGATTTTTCCTATGAACTATCTGAGTTTGGCATAGAAGCAGATCAGCTACCAGCAGCTGTGATCAGATCTAATGATAAGAAGTATAAGCTTGAGAAATTTAGGTAAATTATTTTCGTAATAATTGTCTTGGTCTTAGTCCTCAAACATTTTCTGATTTCTTGCATAAATTTGAGAACGGTCTTTTGACTCCACATATAAAATCAGAACCTGTCCCAACGGACGACTCTGATGAGGTCAAAAAGTTGGTTGCGCTTAACTTCAACGATGTCGTAAATAACGAAAAGGACGTAATGATCGTCTTTCATGCGCCTTGGTGTGGTCATTGTAAAAATCTTATGCCAAAGTACACGGAAGCAGCCAAAAAACTGAAGAACGAACCAAATTTGATTTTGGCTGCAATGGATGCAACTGCTAACGATGTCCCTTCACCTTTTCAAGTGAACGGATTCCCGACAATTTACTTCGTCCCTAAAGGAAAGAAGAATTCACCTAAAAGCTACGAGGTAAGTAAGAAAAGTCATCTCACATATTCTTTAGGGTGGTCGCGACGTTGCTGATATCATCAAGTACCTCGCACGCGAAGCTACTGAGGAACTTGTCGGGTACGACAGATCAGGCAATCCGAAGAAGGGTGAACTATAGGGTGTCTTTAACGATCTTATTTTTTCGATATATTGTATTCTACTTTCCCATTTTTATTGATTGTTTGATAACTTGTAATTGTGATGTATTACAACTTCTAGTTGGTAATAAACCTGTTTTTTGAAAATAATAATTTTTGGTGAATTTATTACACGAGATTATAGTTGCCGGATTTTATTCACAATCGAGTTAATACATTTAGTAATGTATCATGTTTGTGTCTTTTCGGCTCCTGTGTTATTGGTGAGGATTTGTTAAAACATTACAAATTAACGTTATTCTCTATGAGGGATTGCTTGCTCCGCTCTTGCGTTAATTTTGGCTGCTCACATAGCTGTACTATGCATTTGATGTATGTAACGAACCGTTAAACTAATCAGTACATGGTAGATTGTGAATTTTAGCAACAGCTTTTTCTTAAATTGTAGTCAGTTTACTTTCAGATAGATCAATGATTGATTCTGGATTAAGTTCTGTTGAATTTAACAACCACAATATATAGGACAATCATAAGCATGGTCGATCAAACTGAAGATTCTTATACTATGTAATCCTTCAACAAGCAGTTCTTAGTAACCTATAATTCGTGAGTGTGCACTGCTGATTGGAGATCTCCAAGCAACTCTGTCGTGTGGTCTTTTCGCGATCCTGATCGCCTTCAGTTCTCAGAATTGTGTTGTCTGGTCTACATTGTCTTTTCTAACAGACAGACGGTCAGCGATTGAGATCAGTCAGATGCAAACACGTCCGGTCCTCAGATTCTTGCTAAGATCCTAGTTAATCTATCTGCCAAAACTGGACCACCATCCCTAAAAGTCTCAGGAGTTAACGCATCAGGTCTCACTCAGAGTTGGAAGAGTTATATCAACTTGCCACTTAAGTCGTCTCACGAACAGCCAGATTCCGGGTTCCTTGACAAGTTTGTGCAGTTGTCTACTGTTACCTATCATCGCCGCCTTTTCCATCTCGCTTCCGCCACCCACCACTGTTCGCGATCACTGCGAAGACTTCTTGTGAGTTTGTGCCTTAGTCGACTCCGCTCCTTATCGTGTTCAGAGTTAGCCGGACCGAATTTCCAAGAATCTGTTAGTTCAGTGGATGCCATTGAAATCCACTGATTTTTCCTCATTTTTGAAGTGACTCATCAGCAGATATCACTACTGCTTGTGCAGCGTTTCGGATGACATTCCAAGCTGCTTCTGAGTGGGCATCACCTACATGGTCATCTAACATTTTCTAGTTGCTTTCACGATATACCATGGTTTTCTTACCGTGAGGTAGAACTCTAAGGGGTTTCCTTGCAGTAGCTTTCATACGTCCACTAAGATGCAGACGAATACGCCCTCGCACCAGAGGATGGTTCCGGTCTTGACTTGTACTCCAGAACGAGCGACTGTCTTCTGTTGAGCCTCTCCACTGGTGGCTGACAGCGATGTGGTCTATTTGGGTCCAACACTGAGTTGATTTAGTGTCACCATGTCAAAAGGTGTTGTTGCTTATGCCTGAAATTAGTATTTGCTAGAAATAGGCGGTTATTTATGCATAGTCCCAGCTTCTCCCGAAATTGTCTAACAATCGGATTCCTAGTCCCGGCTTCCTTGATAAGTCTGAACAATTATCATGTTGCCTATCGCCACTGCCCTTTTTTTTCGCTACACACTACTGCTGGCGATCGTTGTGAAGACTCCTTGTCAGCCTGCGCTTAAGTCGACTCCGCTCTTCATCATGATGATTTAGGAGACCGAGAATAGCTTTTCGTGTACTCAAATCGTTAGCTCCAGCGGGGCAAGATGATAGAGGTACACCAAAAGGGTTAGTTGTGGATATAATCAAGTTATTAAGAGGTAAGGGAAAGATTTCATTGTAAGCGAGTTGATCTCGTGTGCTGTTACCGGTATGAGGGCGAATGTCACTTTCTGGTTGCCCACATCGTAGATAATGTTTATTGAAGAATCTGAAAATGGAATTCGATTAGTGTCGATCTTAGCGACCTGGAAGTGTGACGGCACACCTGAGAGTGCGACTGCCTGTCACTGATAGGATTTTTATGGGGAGATTTTCGAAGTGTCAGCTTCATTCTTCAAAAGGCCTTATCGCCGGAGACAGAAATTCATAGGGTACGGTGAGGTGTGACAGTCTTATGGTCGACTCTTCTTCACGCATATCCTTCGTTGTGAGAAGGTAGTATCGCTGCAGATGCTGGTTGTTTGGGGGAAACAGCTTACTGCTATCACACTTCTCTGCAGTTGGCAGTACGACTTCGCCTTCAGACCTTGAGTAGCTGTTTCTAGTCTTACCGTTCTTCAATAAATCTGCCTGGCATGGTATGACCTAAAGGAACACATGTTCCAGCCGATATAGCTCGGTTGGGTCATCATGATAGGCATGCCCGACCACCACGTCAAGGTATAATATAAAATCTCACCTTTTATATCCCATTGTTATCAACGGAAGTAATCAAAAGTATATATACGAAGTTATTAAGGTTATGTGTATCATCACCGAAGACAGAGGAGATTACTTCCACAATTTAAGACTATATATTTAACCAATAATGCTGATAAATAGTTGTAACATACTTTGGAAATACAATACCCAACTTCAATTTTCAGTTAATAACAATTGAATTTTCATGCTAGATTGAACAATTACTACTTGTACATTGAACAGTAAAGAGTATGAAATGGTTGAAATTGGTCAGCTTAATCTACCTGTATCTTCTTAGATAAGTTGAACTATCTTATTTATCAAAAACACAGTATAACTAACTATATTAATTTTTATAGTAACTTTATATTCTATAACAAAAGATACATTATTCGCATAGATAACAATTGAATAAAATAATAATAATAATATTTCATGGTAGCTATGAATATATATATTTTTTTTTTCAAAATAAAGCAAAATATACCTCATCACTTCCACCAGTTGACAGTTATTATAAAAACCAAATATTACAAGTCTTATATCATATTAGCATACACAATAATAATAATAATAATAATAATTAATGGTGTTGTTTTTTTTCCATGTGTGTTCAATCACAAATAAAGTACATAAAAAAAAGAGTACAAAAGTACAATATATTTTTGTTCAATTGTCAAGCCATGCAATTTCATACACTGTTGATTTAAAATAAAATAAAATAAAGCAATGATAGTAAAATGCTGGATTATTTTATTATGATAAATACGTTTTCTTCTTTAAAGAGACACATTACTCGTGAGAACACCAAAGAAATCAAATATCCATGAACCGAATAGAAAATAATTTTTTTTATTTTTAATAAGAAGCATGCATTTTTAAGCAGAAAGATATTATGAAATCACAAATAGTTATATTCATATATTATTAATGTTTGTTTGTGTTTTTTACTAAGTCGTACAACACACACACACACACAGAGAGAGAGAGACAAGTTCACTGAGGAGATAAAATATCGTAGAAACAGCATCATAGAACGAACGCTATAGTTAGTACTGCTGTGATTATTAATGAATGTAGTGTGTATCGCTTAAATCCTCTCTCTCTCTCTTGATAATTCATATAACTAGTTGGAAATTTATTAGGCACTTTTTTATTGAGAAGCACGTTCACGCATTTTATCTAATAATTGAATGAGTTGAATATCAAATCTTGGACGTTTACCAGGATCATCTTTTGTACATAAATCAAATAGACGTACAATTCGACTGTCCAAATCCGGTGGAATTGGAAGACGCATATTTTCTGTGGTTATCTACAAAAAAAAACACATTATTATGACGACAGAAGAGATTTACTATGAATCATTAAAAAGAAAAATTGGAGATCTTAAAGTATGAAGAAATCGATTGCTACATATCTTTTTAGAGGTGTACAAATTTCATGATGTCGTACATGCTCACTTTAAATTGTCGCTTAGTAAGTAGTAGAAGTAGCAGTAGTCATGTTGTTTAATCAGTTATAAGCAACGTGTAATCTGTTACATATATGTACCAAACCAATATGTCACACACAATAATGAAATTATATTGACTAATTGAATCTCAATCCGATGAAGATGTAAAGGCGCAGATCGACAAAGCAAGGGATGCATTTCTACAATTGAAGAGCATTTGGAAGTCAAAACAACTACCAACTAACATCAAAGTCAAAATCATCAATAAAAATGGGGCGGAAACTTGGAGAACTGACAAAGCCATCATCCAGAAGATACAAGTATTTATGAACAGTTGTCTACGCAAAATACTTCGGATTCGTTGGCCAGACACCATCAGCAACAACCTAATATGGGAAAGAACAAACCAGATTCCAGCGGAAGAGGAAATCAGCAAGAAGCGGTGGAAGTGGATCGGACACACATCAAGGAAAGTACACAACTGCGTCACAAGACAAGCCCTCACATGGAACTCTCAAGGTCAATGGAAAAGAGGAAGGCCAAGGAACACATTACGCAGAGAAATAGAGACAGACACATGAGAAGAATAAACGAAAATTGGACGGAGTTGGAAAAGGAAGACCAGGGGCAGCGTAGATTGTGGAACACTGGTCGGCGGTCTATGCTCCATTGGGGATGACAGGCGTAAATAAGTAAGTAATTGAATGCCAAAGTAGTAGTAATGGTAGTAAAGAAGGCTAAACATAAAAAAATATGATCTGAGAAGAAAGAATAAATTCTCAAGATAATATATATATATATATATATATATATATAGAATAATTTTAAAACTCAGAATCTAAGAGGAGATAAAGAGTATTAAACAAATTCTATTGATCAAATGGCAATGAGACATTATATTATTTTTCTAGTACCTTTGATCAGCAAACAATTGATTTAAAATGAATCTATTTAGGTGATTTGCATTTGTAGATACAAAATTAGTTTGTAAAATGAATGATCCACCCATGTATGTATAAATCGACCTATTTTTTTTTAATCAAGAGTGAATAAGTTTGACTGAAAAAAAAAATCGTATCCAGAAATTATAAATTCTAAACAAACCTATGCAATTATATATTATTTACCAACTTATATACTATGGAAAAATCTGTGTATATGGCCTTGAGCCACAGTGTATGAGAACTAGTGCTCAGATCAAAGTAGATGGAGCAAAGTTCAAATCTACACACTCGTAGTTGATATTCCAGCATCTTAACTAGCTTAGACCCGGTAACTAGTTCAGTCTGTGTAAAATGACAATCTTGAAAGTTTGTGAGTCACAGTAAGACATCTAGCTGACAGCATATCAGTACACATATATATTGGTTTGGATCACCATCCAAACTATTTTAGGCCTAGTCAGTATTTAGAGACAATACAACAAAAAAATTTAGGACATAATAAACCATTGACGGCTGCTTTATCATTCGACATTATGCTAGTTGATTAGTCTTTTTCTTTGATAATCTATTCTGATCTAGTTGTCACATTATTAAAAGCATTCATAACTTGATATGCTTGAAAATATTACGAGTTCACCTTACTCGGTAAATGGAGCGCAGATCGATGACGCAGTAACACGAAAGGCTATTCTAATCCGTTTGTCCCAGCCCCTGCTAATTGGATCAAGAAGTATTGATAAGGAGTAGAGAATGTATTCCACAAGCACCTAAAGAGTACGAGATCGACAAGCACACAAATCGAGCTTATTTATACAATGATAGCAACGTCCTTGGGAGAGCCACAAAATAGCGTACTAAAATAATTCACCAACCAATGACAGTCAAGGATTTTCCGAATGGGAAATGTAAGCTGAAGGTCAACTAAGCGTCCCCAACATAACTATAATTCTGTTACACGAGAAATGGTTCAAAATTCTGGTAACCTATGTTGTAGCATCTCAACAGATGATACTTTGTATTTACACTAATCAATGAAATTGCAAGTGTACATTTGATTGACGATTTCAAAGATTAAATGTTGCTACACATTTGAAATCACCAGTCAATCATTAGAAACCTAGAAGCACTGGACGGACGTTTCGTCCTGGTATGGGACTCATCAGCAGTGCACATAAACGACCCCTGAACCTCGCAGGATTCGAACCCCCGACCTTCGGTCTTACGCGTGAACGCCTAACCTCTGGACCACTGGGCCGGTAATCCAACGGTGCTTCCAGGTTTCTAATGGTGGTCTAACAATGATTGATTGATGATTTCAAATGTCTAAAAACAATAATCTCCATAACTCCAACTGAAAAATATTAAATATTGTACTGACACTATCTATCATCCAAAATTAGGAAATACATTTATTGAATATACTTACACTTAATTTATTATTTTTTTCAATCAATTTTAAAACGAAATCTCGTCAATAAGAAAAAAAACTCTAACTGAAATCAACAATCAGTGATGTTGGTATTGATATTCGGTAGTTGAAAATGAATGGGTAGATGTAGACTTTTCCACTTGAAAGCATTCACGTATTAGGTGTGCCTGAAGACTCGATAGTAGTGCAATATATTATTCATTGAAGATGTCTTTTTCAAAAAAAACATTTAACTGGCCAGTAACCATTTTCATATTCAAACAAAATTAATACTGACATGTTAAAACATGTGAAAAAAAATTTTTTTCAACTTTCGAAAGACAAGCTGACCAGTTAATAAGAAAAATATACGTAAAAAAGGTCAAAATACATAAGAGAGTTAATTCATTAAGAATGATGAGAAGACTATATGTTGTGCTGTTGCATAGCAGTAGTTGGATTAGTGACATTGAAAATGGTCGTGTTTTCAAGACATACATTACACATCCTAATCTAATTTAACAAAAGTCTTTCAATGTCTCGAACATAAAAACACTATACTGAAATTTTTAGATGGGTTTGATTGTGACCAATTCGGTCTCGTGTGCTGTTACGGGTATGAGGGCGGTTGTCAATTCCCGGCTGCCCACACCATGGAAGATAGTTAAATGTATTTTGATAATTTGTCAAATAATATCAGCAAACATAAGGAAAAAAATGAATTACAGCGTTGTCAGTAAGAGATAGACGAATGACACCGAGGTAATACATATTTTACAAAGCTTCTAGTATTAAATGAAAAACCCAACTGAAGCGATAGAACATGCAATTATATTACAAAGTTAAATATTTGGCCTTAATTCATATTCTTATTTCCCATTCAAAACAAAAAAAATAACGTAAACAAAAGAAGAAAAAAATGCAACATTGATTACAATTTAATTTACATATCCCAAATGAAAAATCAAATCTTAAAAGTTTTTTGAAACTTTTTACCATAAACTCTTATCCAAAATTATTGAACAATAACATGATTAGAAATCATGAATCAATCAATGTTAGACTACCATTAGAAACCTGGAAGAACTAGACGGCCGTTTCGTCCTAGTATGGGACTCATCAGTGGCAGTGCGCATTCAAATGTGTAATTTGACAATCTTCACAACCCCGTAATGCAATTATCTGTGCTCACTAGTGACTAGCTCCGTGAGGAATCTTCTCCGAGTTCTAGTGAGAAGTCATGACCAGTGAAGTTCAACCTGTTCGGGTGTAGACAGTAACTACCGAAGACTGTGTATGAGGTTGCGCAACTCCGTGAATTGATCGAAGTTAGACATTAACACCATCAGATACCGGCTCAGTGGTCCAGAGGTTAGGCGTTCGCGAGCAAGACCGAAGGTCCTGTGTTCGAATCCTGTAATGTGCGGAAGTCATGGGTGCGCACTGCTGATGAGTACCATATCAGGACGAAACGACCGTCAGTGTTTCTAGGTTCCTAATGGTGGTCTAACATTGGTTGATTCATGATTTTGAATGTGTAACTTAACAAGCTTTACAACCCCGTAATGCAATTACAGGATTGCTTATCAATCGTTGAGTTTTTGATTTTCATTGTAGAATAAAGTAGTTAAAGCTTCTGGAAATTACAGTAGTAGCATAAATACAATTGATTCAACAATTTGTTTGTGTGCCACTTATTTAATCGATTTGATTGTAATTTTCTTTATCATTCAACTTACTGATCCTTTCCACATTGACTATGTTATTGAAGCCAATATTTTACATACCATATTAGCTGAACTGATTCTTCTGTGATTGTCACAAGAGAACTTTTGTCCTTCCTTATAGACTGAGACAATCAGTGATTGAGAAAAGCCAAAAGGGATTACGTCCAGTTTACAGATTCTAGCTAAGATCTTAGCCAATCTAACTGTCAAAACTAGACCACGATCCCTAAAAATTCCAGGTACTAACTTATCGGTGCCTGCTGCTATCCCTCGCTTGAGATTGCCGACAAAATTTTCGATTTCATTATGAGTTGGAGGAGATATGTCAACTTGCCATTTAGGCTGACTAGGGATCGTGGGTAACTGAAAGGGGACTGAAGGCAAGTTGAACTGTTCCACAATGTTTTGTTTATTGATCAGTATAATCGATATTTTTAAGGATGACTAATTCAATCTACAAAGTTATCAATCAATACCAATTATACCTCCTTTATGGTTAACAACTTGACCTACTATAAACAAAGGTTTACAATATATAAATATATATATATACAATTTTACTATTGTATTCAAAAGTTCATGTAAACTTTATTCATTCAATAACCAAATGCACCATCTAGTCAATATAAGGTGACTCATAATTCAGTATGTAAAAACATTAGAAACGAACATTAGACTACTTTCGAAAACTTCGATTTAATAGAAATTCTGATCAATAACGGATTTGAAGAATAAGAATAAAATATTTGCTACTTACAAAAACAATACCCAATATCATAGCGCTTGGAGTTGGGACACTCAATCGGTAGAAACAGACAGACAGACAGACAGATACAACACAGAACTTCGTACGTATGTACATTAGTTCAGGTTGCCATACCACATCAGCACACAGACGCCACAGTCAATTCAAATCCAATAGTGGTAGCGATAGTAGAAGTATTAACAGTAATGGAGAAGATTTGGGTATAATTCATTGAGATGAAGTTAGAAGGAGAAAGATAGAGATGATGAGGAATTCAGATGGTTAGAATTTGAGAGAATACAAAGAGTGGATGCACATGCGACATTGCAAACGATTTCGACAGATGTCGTTCAAGGTCTCTAACCATCTGTGACTTTCGACTCGCGGACCCCAAGCAGGTAGCTTACATCTACCAACATGGCTAAGTCCACTTGTGAGTGATTTCATGGATTCATGCCATGTTTAGGTTTGGCCGTCTCTAGCTTTCTTCCGACCTACTCCTACACCACAAAACATAGCTCGACGAGGCAGTCGGCGGTTGGGCATTCGCAACACCTGTCCCAACTACCTCAACGTGTAGAAACAATCAAAATTAATATGCAGGCAATAATAACTAAGCAATAATTGCCACTGACGTCAGGTGATTGTTGAGAAATTGCAACAGTTCACTTCTTTCTTAAGCTTGTGCTGATGATTTCTAATTTGATAATAAAAAAAAGGCAAACAACTTAAACGATCCAGTGTTCAGAGAACAAAACTTTACCAAAATGTTGAGTTTCATTAAAAACTAATTCATAAGCTTGACAATAAATTATCAATATGTAGACTGGCTCTGTACAAATTCCGACGTATCTGTCATTGGGAGATAAAAGTTGACTTGATAAGCATGAAAAATGAGATGACAACTGTTTTTGATTTTTTACTAATTCTTCCATGATAATAATGAAATTCATAATGATAAGTACATAAGTGAGTTGTGTTAAACGTAGGATTTCATATAAACTGGGGATTTGAACACTACACATACGACTATCATAGTAAAAACAATAACCACCACAAATCGAAGAGACTTGAGAGAAAAAAGGACTAAACGAGTATTATATCTACAAATCTACAATATTTGCATCATGCTGCAAGTACAAATTTAATTTATATATAAATTAACTGTTGTCGACGCAAAATACTTCAGATCCGTTGGCCAAACACCATCAGCAACAACCCTACTGTGGGAAAGAACAAACCATATTCCAGTGGAGGCAGAAATCAGGAAGAAGCGCTAAAAGTGGATAAGATACACATTGCGTAAAGCACTCACTCAACTACGTCACAAGACAATCCCTCACTTGGAACCCTCAAGGACAAAAGAGAAGAGGAGACAGCGAATGAGAAGAATGAACAAAAAACTGGACAGAACTGGCAATGGAAGCCCAGGACAGAATAGACTAGAGAATACTAGTCGGTCGGCGAAAGTAAGTAAGAAATATTTTTTTAAAGATTACTTTAACATTGATGCATTCACATCAAGTTACATACTGTAGACATTGAATCAAATTGAAAAGATAAATCGATTTTTTTTAAACTGAACAATATCACATGATTTAAATTGACGTGTTATTAATATTATTGTCATTATTACTAGTAACAGTTACCTACCTTCATTCCAATAACCATAGGATTCATTCCATCGAATGGAATCATTCGAGTTGTCAATTCCCAAAGTATCACACCAAAACTCCACATATCTGAAGCTTCAAGATTGATTTCATTAGCTTTCTTTTGTAAAGCTATAAGAAAGAATATTTAACAGGAGAAAAACGATACAGCATAAAAAATAACAAACACAAAAAAAAATTAATATAAAAGAAAAACCTGTTGAACAGAATAAAATTAGTTACTAAGAGATGTAGACAATCAATTTATCTCATTGTATGCACAAATTAATGAATTAAATAGAATGCTGAGTCACACACACACCCTTTGTATTGTAGACAATGCTCATGTACTCAAATCGTTAAACTCATTAATATTTACCAGTAACACTGGTGGTCAAGCAGCACACGTATGCAAAACATATAAAAGACAACAATGGTATTGAATAGATGATGCATGACGAATGAAATGTAAGCTTATGATCGAAATGTGTATGACATTTGATTTACTATTTAAATGAATGCAATTGCCAGTAGTGAGTAATGCTGTGGTTAAGCTTAGGCACCAAGTTACAAATAATCAGTTTATATTAATGAATTTATGAAATCAACTCAACTAACATGGATGAGATATATAGAACGAATTCCTTAGACATCGTGCAATTTAATACATAACGCTGGTTATGCAGAAAAAAACCTACGAGCAGCAAGAATATATAATAACGATCCGTCAAGTAATCGGCTATCGAACTGATTTATGTCAGTAGGTACAAACTGCTAGGGTTGCTAATTATGGAATGATAGTGTGATTGTAGAAATTTGTTAGATTGGCGCGAAATCGGTCTCTAATGTAATCGTTTTATATCCCAACCCAAAATATTGAATTAAATGTTATCCTTAGACTTTAATTGTTTCATTTCCTTTAAGTCTCTTAGACTATATTTCAAATATCTAGCTTTTCAGCGCAATTTGTATTCTCAATCATCTATAATTCTTCTATTTCCACGTGGTGGTCGGGCATGCCTATCATGATGACCCAACCGAGCTATATCGGCTGGAACATATGTTCCTTTAGGTCATGCCATGCCAGGCAGATTTATTGAAGAACGGTAAGACTAGAAACAGCTACTCAAGGTCTCAGGGTGAAATCAAACTGCCAACTGCAGAGAAGTGTGATAACAGTAAGCTGTTTCCCCCAAACAACCAGCATCTGCAGCGATACTACCTTCTCACAACGAAGGATATGCGTGAAGAAGAGTCGACCATAAGACTGTCACACCTCACCGTACCCTATGGATTTCTGTCTCCAGCGATAAGGCCTTTTGAAGAATGAAGCTGACACTTCGAAAATCTCCCCATAAAAATGCTATCAGTGACAGGCAGTCGCACTCTCAGGTGTGCCGTCACACTTCCAGGTCGCTAAGATCGACACTAATCGAATTCCGTTTTCAGATTCTTCAATAAACATTATCCACGATGTGGGCAACCAGAAAGTGACATCCGCCCTCATACCGGTAACAGCACACGAGATCAACTCGCTTACAATAAAATCTTTCCCTCATCTCTTAATAACTTGATTATATCCACAACCAACCCTTTTGGTGTACCTCTATCATCTTGCCCCGCTGGAGCTAACGATTTGAGTACACGAAAAGCTATTCTCGGTCTCCTGAATCCTCTCTCTAAACTATATGTTAGAGCTTCTAATGTTTGAACTTTGTACCACGTAGGATGGAAAGATTCCTTAGTTAGGACTTTAGAATCTCGTGTCATGAATGTATGTTGCGTCTCCGAAACACGGAATACAGGATCCGAGTAAAATCATTCATTTCATCTCATCAAGTCCAGATTAAGAACTAACTTGATTTAAGCATCGTGTATCTGGAAGCTTCAATGCTGTTTCCGGTGGCCTCGCTGGTGTAAGTATGGCATTCAGTTATCAAGTAGGACTAGTTCTTTTTGACTAGATTCCAGTAGACAGTTGCTTGCGCGCTATTTGACTCAGTCAGTCAGTCAGTCAGTTGCAACGTAGAACTTCGTACGTATGTACATAAGTTCATGTTGCCATACCACATTATTAGCACAGAGACGCAAATGTCAAATCAAATCCCATAGTGATAAAGATAGTAGAGGTATTAATGTTAATAAAGAAGACTAGAGTTCGAAGATATTATTCAAAAAATATAATTCAGTGAGATAAGATTACAAAGACAAAGGCAGAGGTATTGACGAATCCAGAAGATTAGGATTTGAGAGAATACAAAGAGTGGATGCACCTGTGCCATTGCAAACGATTTTGAGCCATGTCGTTCAAGGTCTCTAACCATTGATGACTTTCGTCTCGCGGACCCCAACCAGGTAGTCTACATCTACCAACATGACTCAGTCCACTTGTCAGTGACTTCATGGATTTCTGCCATGTTTTGGTCTGACCGCCCCTAACTTTCTTCCAACCTACTCCTACACCACAAAACATAGCTCGTCGGGGCAGTCGGTGGTTAGCCATACGTAACACATGTCCCAACCACCTCAATTGATGAAGTTTCACCACTTCATCGATTGATCTGCCATCCTTACCTAGTACTCGTTTCCTAACGACAGCATTGCTTACTCGGTTGTCCCACGATATACGAGCAATGCTTCTTAAACATCTATGATCGAATACTAGTAACCTACGAACATCTTCTACTCTTAACGGCCATGTTTCACAGCCATATAATAGAACGGAACGAACTGCTGCGCAGTACACCCGTCCTTTGGTTAGCGAACGGATATCACGCCTACGCCATAAGTGACGCAGGTTGGCAAAAGCCAATCGAGCTTTCTGTATCCGAGCTGAGATTTCGTCAGTCACCAGACCGTCAGCACTGATGAGACTCCCAAGATAAGTGAAGTAATCAACACGCTCTACTACTTCACTCCCTATCACTAGTTCAGGTGCCAATGCAACCCAGTCTTGAAGCAACATTTTGCATTTCGAGGGGGAAAACCGCATCCCGAACATGCTCGCATTGTTGCTTATGGTAGTCAGAAGACTCTGCATTTTGTCAGCGTCTTCACCGAATAGAACTATGTCATCGGCATATTCTAGATCAGTAAGCGACTTTCCTGGTAGAAGGTCAACCCCTGAAAAATCTGACGAGCTTAATGTTAACTCTAAGAGGATGTCTACGACAAAGTTGAACAAGAATGGAGAGAGTGGACAGCCCTGACGGACACCACTTGATGTAGAGAATTCTGATGACAGTTCGCCATATGCTCTCACCCGACCAGTGGTGTTCGAGTAGAGTGCTTGTATAAGGTTAATGTACTTTTTTGGTACACCTTTCAATGACAGACACTGCCACAGAACCTCACGATCCACTGAGTCGAATGCCGCCTTAAGGTCCAGGAACACGACTATTGTCGGACGTCTAAATGTGTGTCTGTGTTCCAGGACCTGTCGTAGTGTGAAGATGTGGTCTATACAACCACGTCCAGGTCGAAAACCAGCCTGGTTTTCTCGAGTCTGCTCTTCGCGAGCTCTAGTTAGACGTCTAAGTATAATCGAGGCTAACAATTTAGAAACTATATTAGTTAGACTTATTCCCCTGTGATTGTCGCAAGAGGACTTCTGTCCTTTCTTGTAGATTGGGACAATTAGCGACTGAGACCAGTCAGATGGGATTACGTCCATTTCCCAGATTCTACCTACGATCTCGGTCAGTTTAACCGTTAAAACTGGACCACCATCCTTAAACATCTCAGGGGTAAGCCTATCGGGACCTGCCGCTCTACCTCTCCTTAGATTTCCTATAGCTTTCTCAACTTCATGTAAACTGGGAGGACTTAAATCGATTTGCCATTCAGGATGACTGGAGATCGTGGGCAACTGAAGTGTGGCTGAAGGCCAGTTGAACTGATCCCTAAAGTGTTCTGCCCATCGGTCCAGCCTCCTGGATTGAGAATGGATAATAAGACCATCCTTTTCCGAGATAGTCTCACTCACATTCGGGTTCCTAATACCGGTTTCTTTAATAAGGCGGAAAAGTTGTCTAGTGTTGCCTATCGCCGCTGCCTTTTCCATCGCTTTTGCTTTCGCCACCCACCACTGTTCACGGTCGTTACGTAGGCTTTTTATAAGTCTGCGCCTAAGCTGACTACGCTCTTCATCATATTCAGAGTCAGGTGGGATGCGCTTTCGAGCATCCATCAGTTCGTTGGATGCGACTGAAATCCACGGCTTCATCTTAGCCTTGTGGTTTACCTTGCTAGCAGATATCACTGCTGTTTCCACAGCCTTCTTGATATCATTACAACCTGCTTCAGGATGGGAATCACTTGCATGGCCGCCTAACTGTTTTTCTAGTTCCTCCTGAAATATTTTCTTAGCTTGATTATCATCAAGTAAAGCCCTAAGAGGCTTCCTTACGGTGTCTTTCCTACGTCCAGCAAGCCTCAAACAAATACGTGCTCGCACTAGGGCATGATCTGAATCTAAATATGTGCCCCAGAACGAGCGACAGTCCTCTATCGAACCCCTCCATCGGTGGCTGATGGCGATATGATCTAGTTGTGTCCAACGTTGAGACGACTTCGGGGGTCGCCAGGTCAAAAGGTGTTTCTCCTTATGCTTAAAATTAGTGTTTGCTAGAAATAGTTGGTTATCTGAGCACAGTTGCAACAGACGGTCGCCATTGTCTGTTCTTTGAGCCGCGAGACCGTAACATCCACCTAGGTGTCTTTCATTTTCACTTAGTCTACCTACTTGTGCATTGAAGTCACCAGCCATTATAACTATATCAGAGCGCTTAACTTTTTGGAGGAGGTCCGAAAGCTTTCTGTAAAACTCATCTTTTACATCATCTGGGCTGCAGTCAGTGGGGGCGTAGGCTGATATGACAAAGAGGCAACGGCGAGTGTCCCTATCTTTCCGAGTCCTTACTGTCCCGTTCAGTCGGACGGCGCACAAGCGACTATCTACAGGGATCCAGTCAAGGAGAGATTGTTCTGCCCTACGACTCAATGCTATACCTACACCGGTGAGGCCCCTGGAAGCAGCATCAGGGCTACCGGATACACGAAGGGTAAATCGAGCTGCTTCTTTATCTTGACATGGTGAGGTCAAATGAGTGATGCTACTCGGATCCTGTATGCGCGTTTCCGAGACGCAGCACACATCGATGGAACGAGATTCTAAAGTCCTAGCTAATGATGCCTGTTGCCCTATTTGACACAATGTCCGTACATTGAATGCTCCAACATGTAGTTTGGAACGGGGTTTAAGGAGACCAGGAACGACGTTTCGCAAACTCGCATCGTTTGCATTAGCTGTGCACTGTAATAAATGAATGTGAGAAGAGTTAGTTGTGGAGATAAGAGAGGTATTAGGGAATGTAGGAAGGATTTGATTTTGAACAATTTGGTCTCGTGTGTTGTTACGGGTATGAGGGCGGTTATCACTTCCCGGCTGCCCACACCGTGGAAGGTTGTTTCTTGACGAACCTGAAAAGGAAGATGGATTAGTGTTGGTGCGTGACCGCAGGGTCCAAGGGACAACTGCTTGAGGCCGGTCACGCACGGCCTTTTTATGAGACGTTGTTTGAGGATTAGCTCCGTTCTTAAAGGCCCTTAGTGGGCACCCTTACCCAAGAAGACGGAAATCCGTGAGGTAGGGTGAGGTGTGACATTTTTAGGGTCGACCTTTCCTAACCCTTCCTTCCTTGTGAGAAGGCAGCATCACTGCAGATGCTGGTTGTCCGAGGGAAACACCTTACTGCTGTTACACCTCTCTGCAGTCAGCAGTACGACTTCGCCCTCAGACCTTGGGTAGCTGCTTTTAGTCTCATCGTTCTCCAATCGACCTGCCTGGCATGGTAGGACCTGCAGGAACATATGTTTCAGCCAGTATAGCTCGGTTGGGTCATCACGATAGGCAAGCCCGACCACCACGTCAAGGTAGCAGCTTCGGTCGGGATTTGACTAAACGGAACAGCAAGGACTCGGAAAGACAGGGAAACTCACCGTTGCCTCTGCGGCACGACAGTAGTTGAAATCCTTGACCTTAAGGCTTTCGACTCTGTTGCAGTGTTTGCCAGTGAAAGGTGTATCGAAGAAGTACATTAACCTTTAACAGGCTCTCTACTCAAACAAAACTGATCGAATGAGGGATAATGGTAAACTGTCATCGGAAGTGGTATTCGTTAGGGTTGTCCGCTTTCACCATTCCTATTCAACTTTATTATCAACACGCTTCTAGAGATAACACATTCATCGTCTGACTTTCCAGGAGTCGACACTGTACCAGGAGATTCGCTTATTTACGCAGAATATATGCACGGCTAGACTAATCCATGTTAGCAGGTGTAAACTACCTGGAAAGGTTTCGTGAGACTATTGTAACTGGTGGTTACAGACTTTGAATCATGTGGTTCGAAATCGTTTGCAATGGTACAGGTACTTCCATTCTTCGTCTTCTCTCAAATTTTAATCTTCTGAATTCCTCATGACTTTTTTATTTTTCTAAATTTATCTCGCTGGATTATACTTCTCGAATCATATTTTCGATCTCTAATCTTTTCTATTAGCAATACCACCACAACCTTTAGTATTCTGAGATTTGGCCAGAAAATTCCATTTCTCTGTGATAATGCAGTATGGCAGCTTGAACGGATGTACGGACGTACCAAATCCTACGTTGAGACTGACCAATATTTCGAGATACACTGCTTAATATCTCTCCCATAATGTTGATGTTATGTATGGTAGTTTAGACCAATAAACATTCTCTCTAGTACTGACAAACTCTTTGCTATTACTACCGAATCGTAATCATGAATAAAATGTGATTAATTCCTTCTAAGGTGTCGATGACATAGAGAATTTTCCTAGAATTCTAGTGACCATTTATAGGCAATGCAATTTTACCGAATTGGATGTAAGCTGTCTACCGAAGACAATGAAAGATGAAGTGGCTGAACTAAACTTTTGCACTATAAGATCCGGTGATTTAGAAGTTAAACGTCCGTGTGAGATCGAAGAAACTCGGATCGATTCCGTATGTTGGGGTTGTAAATACACATTGGTTGAGAAGTCCCATACTAGAATGAAAAGGGTTGCCCAGATCTTCTAGGTTTTCAACGGTTGTCCAAGTTATATCGGTTTATCATCTCAATAATATTTAATGTTTTTATTAGACTTACATTCAGGTGACATCCAAGCTGGATTGTATTCTCGAGCTTTTTCATGAAATGAAAATTTATAATCTGCCATATCTAAACGAGCAATTAACGATTCATCAGCTACAATTGACTGTTGTGCATTTTGTCCATGTGCAGCTGTATCGACTGTATCCCAAACACCAATTTTAGCAATATCTTCATCCACCTAAATTGAAATAAGAAAATATATAAGTAGCTTGTGTAAAGTTAAAACTAATTTTTCTAACATATGAGAACATATTAAGAATATCAATAGTTCAATGATAAATATTGTAGATTAAGTTTGCTGTATATCACTATGCAATCAAAAATCTCGTAGTAAATTATTGATGACTTAAAAAGTGTACATAAAAGTAGCATCCATTCAAATATAATGAAAGCTATATTCAAACTAAGTTAAAAATACAATTCTTATAATTTAAATCTTGGGCCCACATCGACAAACATATGCATTTGTACACATTTAAAATCATGAATCGACAAATATTAGACCACGATAAGAAACCTAGAAGTACTGGATGGCCGTTTTGTCCTGGTATAGGACTCATCAGCAGTGCGCATCCACGACCCTTGCACCTCGCAAGATTCGAACCCAGAATCTTCGGTCTCGCGCGCGAACGCCTAACCTCTGGACCACTTAGCCGGTATCTAACGCTGTTAATGTCTAACTTTGATCAATTCACAGTCTAGCGCAACCTCATACATTATCTTCGGTAGTTACTGTCTACACCCGGACAGGTTGAACTTCAGTGGTCATGACTTGCCACTAAAAACTGGGAGAAGATTCTTGAAGTAGCTAGTCACTAGTGAGCACAGGTAATTGCATTATGGGGTTGTGAAGATTGTAAAGTTATACATTTGAAATCATGAATCGATCAATGTTAGACCTGGAAGCAGTTAGACTAGATAAGAATATTCCGAATAACACATATACAGTAATAAGTATTCTAACTGTCAATCATTGTGTGGTGGATGCTATTCACAAAGTGGTATACAAGTAATAGACAGTGGAGCGTGTCTTAGGAGTTGTTACTGGAGAGGATAGTATCTGAGTTTTGAAATGCATAACGTGATCTGGATATTTTGAAGACCAGACAGGATATGAAAGAAAGCAGTTATTGCAAATAAATGATTTAAAACTATTTTTCAAACAAACTGTATCTTCTCCAAATATATCTCCCGTAAGTTTTTGACTTATTTGTATACTAAAACTGGGAAGATCAGTGCCATATAATATTCACTGACATGAAACAATCACAAATGCAGTGAGTGCTAAACTTATTGTGAAACTATTCACTTAAGCCTCTTTTTTTTGTACAAACCACAATGCAGAAAAAAAAACAATAAACCAGTTCGATTTTTCATACTTACAAAGAGCACAGTACAAAAAATTAATGTTAAAATAAATTTGAAATGAAGAAAAAAAATCCAAAGCTGATGTGCTACTAAGTTTTACAATTGGACTCTATAATGATTGGATTTTTGACAAACACATTTATAGTTTTGTTCACATACCTCACTTAAGGTTAGCAATTTAGATTGTTTGGTAACAATTAGCTTTTTCCTAGTTCCCTACTTACATTAGTTAATATGTCTACTTCGAAATCGATGATATTAAGGATATTATATGCATTTAATATTACGAAAAAGATATTAGTTGAGAGATTAAGGATTTCATCGACTGCATTATTAAGTTTTAGATGTTTGGTTAATTTTTTTCACAGTTCTAAACTAAACGGACATCAAAACCTACCAAAAATATAACATTATTTGGTAAAAACCACCAATACACATCGATTATTAATCACAAATAAATGGTTAACACGAGAGAATAATAGATTTTTTTTTGAATGCACTTCACAAATGAATTATAAAGTTCACATTATATAGATCGTAAACTAGTTGAATGCATTGAAGTATCAATGTTGATGAAAAAGACCCAACATTTAGTATGTATATACAGTTTGAGAAGGTGGAATGGAAAGGTATGTAAGGAAAGAACATTTAAAACCACAAATCTAGAGAATAGTTGAAACCATGTCAAGAAATGTCTCCGATCATCGATTACAGTTATTGCAAAGACATACCATCAGTTAGTCTGCTGAATCTACCGACATGATTCATCAGTTAATCAGTCAGATGCAACGTAGAACTTCGTACGTAAGTACAACAGTTCATGTTGCCATACCACATCAGCACAGAGATGTAATTGTCAATTCAAATCCAATAGTAGTAAAAGTAGTAAAGGTATTAAAAGTAATCGGAGAGGTTAGGATTAGAGGATCTTATTCAAGAAGTATGATTCAGTGAGATAAGTTAAGAAAGTCAAAACTAGAGGGGTTGAAGAATCTAGAAGATTAGGATTTGAGAGAACACAGAGAATAAATGCACTGGCGCCATTGCAAACGGTTCATATCAACAGTTGATTGATGATTTTATGATGAACTAATCTCACATTAAGATTTGCGTTAAAGTTTAACCTCTAGATAGTAGGTATATCAATTCATTTGGAGGTTTTGAATCAATCAGCCACATTCTCAAAAGTAACCATTACTCTATCGAGTCATATTACTGAATTCGATTAATTTATTTTAACAATCACATGTCGCGTCCATTCATCAAATCAAAAGCTACAACATAAATAATTATGAATTGTCCATATCGAAGAACGATAATTCCATTTTGGTAGAGCCACACATTTAAAGAATACTTACTTACAACACTCTAACTATATACATATTCTAAGTAAGATTTACAAATATTGTATAGTAAATAGAGTAGTGACACCATAGTTAAGACACTTGACACTCAGTTCTAGACTCGCACATCATCTACTTCGCTTTGGAAGACCGACCAACTAGCACTGGTGTCTTTAACACCTGAAGCGTAACTGGAACCTAAGCACATGTACATGTACATGTACATGTACATACTGTATGATATAAAATCATTATGATAAATAAATGAAAATGATGAATGCTTTTTTTTTTTAGTATAAACTACTATATCATGAAGTGAAAACGTTTGATTGTAGTTACCTTAAAAAAAAAAGTCATATTATATCATTAGATCATTAAAAAATTGAATAATTTTTTTACTTCTAGTAGTGGTTATTCTAGGTCAAGTATCCATATGAAAAGAAAAAAATACAAACGTGTTCATTATCTTTTAAAAAAAATTAATAGAATAAGTAGTTCCGTATTAAACATAAGTACTATACTATACTCAACAACAAATTAATATAATGAGTATGAAATTCTTTTTATAAGCAAATAAGAAATAATAATAACAGTTTTTCAATATTTATGAAAAAAAGAAATATTATCTGCATATATAGAAATGCTTGAATATGTTCAATCAACGTGTGATTTTATTTTAAAAAATGAAGATGCTAATCATAAGAACTACAACAATACACAACGTACATATAAAAAGATAGATAAATCAAGACAATAATGAATGACCAGTTTTACAATTATGAACTAAGGTTATGATATGTATGCTATTGATACGAAGAATGTGGAAGTTAGGGTAGACACAAATGCATTAGTTTATAGTTTGATGGAGAAGTAAGTAATTCATACTTTAGAAGCACGGAGTAATGAGAGTAGCAGAAGAGATTTAATATAGAAAAAAAAAGTCACTACTACTTAGTAGATGTTTTTAAGTCAATAAACAAAGAGCGTGTAAATCTTTCTTTCAGTGACTAGATTTTGTTTTCCTGAAGTGGATAAAAACACATTATACACAACAAAAAGAGATTTCAGGCCTTATTTGTTTATTTGTTCAGTGTGACGACATATGCTTCAATGACACATGGACTATTATGGGCATAATTCCAACTGAGAACGAATAGGGTGAGGAAGTGCACTCCAGACAATATAATTTGAATCAAATAGGCTACAGTATCTACTTTCAGCTAATAATCTATCAGCTTATGTTTTGTTTTCGACGGAGTTGCCATTATTTAAATACAGTTTAAGGCTGATAACCCCAATACATCTATAGATTTTGATTAAAACTATGATAAAACCTCAAGTGAAACATGAACGTCTAGCAATATAATTTTTTTAAATTAATTAAAGATAATTTTTAGTCTATTTATTAGATAAAACAAACAAATAAGTTTCAAATTCACTTAATATTCATCACGCCCGACCGTAGCTGTTACCCTGACGTGGTGGTCGGGCTTGCCTATCGTCATGATCCAACCGAGTTATATTGGCTGGAACATATGTTCCTGAAGGTTCTACCATGCCAGGCAGGTCGATTGGAGAACGATCAGACTAAAAGCAGCTACTCAAGTTCTAAGGGCGAAGTAGTACTGCTGACTGCAGAGAGGTGTGACAGCAGTAAGGTGTTTCCCTCGGACAACCAGCATCTTCAGCGATGCTGCCTTTTCACAAGGAAGGAAGGGTTAGGAAAAATGTCACACCTCACTCTACCTCACAGATTTTCGTCTCCGTCGGTAAGGGTGCCCACTAAGGGCCTTTAAGAACGGAGCTAATACTCAAAAAACCTTTCATAAAAAGGCCGTGCGTGACCGGCCTCAAGCAGTTGTCCCTTGTGCTCCGCGGTCACGCAACCAAGTCTCAAAGACCGACTCTAATCTACCTTCTTTTTCAGGTTCCTCAAGAAACACCCTTCCATGGTGTGGGCAGCCGGGAAATGACAACTGCCCTCATACCCGTAACAGCACGCGAGACCAAAATGGTCATAATCAAATATTCATCACGTTCAGTTATTGAATCATACTGTTTGTACATTTTAATAATCATGTCCATTTAATATTACAGATTTTATAATAAATGTAATATATAATTGCATAGAAATCAAATGAGACGATGGAGAATGTTTGTAACTCTCAGAATGAGAATGTGTTAATTTCTAATTTGTATGGATTAGTTGTGACTATTTCAGTATTCTTCCGAAAACAAAATGTCATCAGAACGTATTTCAAAGAAGCTATTAGAAATGTTCTACTATGATTGACTAACACTTTGTTTTCTTGACCCAAAAATCTGGTTACTTAAATAATTCCTTGAAGAGTTAGTTCAACAATCTTTTATTATTGACGCTTATTTTAAAAGTTACGTTGTTATGAGCAATTGTCACTTCATCACGATTGACATACACATGTGTACACTGTTCGCTATACAAATACTA